CCCAATACTGAGGCGTCTCCTGGTGTTGCAAAATTTAAAAAAAAAAAAAAAATTTCTTATGAAATGATAGAGAATCTTTTCCCAATTGTAATGTCACCAAAAAAAAAAAAAAAAAATTTGATGGAAAACTGACGGAATTACGCTCTCGCAAAGTTAGCGACCTCAGCAATATTTACAAATTGGCAATTTCGCCCACTTTGAGCCCTATTTTTGGCTAATTCCGTTGTTCCAGTCGACTAAACTTGGCTATTTCTTTAGAACTCCATTTTTTCTATCAATTGAGTGCAAGAAACTGCCCATTTACCAATTTCAACTACCCAATAACGTGGTCAGAAATTTGCAATTTGGCCAATTTCACGAAAATTAAAAAATATGAAAATTTCAAAATAAGGTCCAGAATGAACAATGCAGACATTCCTGGCTCTAAAATAACATTTTCTTTGTTCATCAGTCATGTCTCCAGGCCCCTCTGATATTACTCTTGTTTTCTATTGAATTTTTATTCAAACAAAAAGCAGAAGATTTACTGTTATGCAGACTACTGCAATATTGTAATAATTGTACAATTAATGTCAACCCATTCATGACTGCATATTAGAATGGCTAGTGTGACATTTATTGGACAACGACATAATTTGTTTACTTTTGAACATCGGTAAAAATCAAACATTTCCCCTACTTTAAGCTCCATTTCAATGTTCTTTTTATAGTAAAACCAGTCAAAATCATCTCTATTTCTATAATATGTTTTCCATTCTATCAAATGAGACCAAGAAAACGAGAATACAACCATAAATACTATACAAAAATAGACCACAAAGTTGGCATTTTAATTAAAAAAAAAAAAAAACTAGTTTTTTCTCATGCACTGCATGCTGCAGGATTTATTTTATATGTTGCACACAGACCCATTCTCTCATATGGGCCTACCAGCTTTCTCCTGCTTGATTTGAAGCCGCTAGAATTTATGAGTATATATACGTCAAACACGGTACCTCATAAGACGTATATATACTGCCGAAGCAGTCAAAGGGTTAAACTCTAAGCACCCAGTTAACTGGTTGGGAGGCAGCCTATATGGGGGTGTGACATATGTCAAATAAATTTTAACGTACTCTGCATGCCACAACTTGTTTACCCAAATGTTCAGTTCTAGTTGCTTGAGCATCCAGCAGGTTTGTGTGAGGGTGTTAGAAAGGAGTGAGGAAAGTCTTTTTTTTTAACCCTTTCAGGGTTTCGGCCGTACTAGTACGCCTTACGCACCAGGGTTTTTGACGTACTAGTACGCCTAAATTGTAGCGCCCTCAGATCTAGTGAGAGAAAGCTGGTAGGCCTACATATGTGGTCAGTGTGCGAGGTATAAAAAAAATCCTGCAGCACACAGTGCGTAATGAGAAAAAAAAAAAACTTTGACTGTATTTTTGGATTAAAACAGCGACTTTGCACTGTATTTTCGTATGGTATTTATCGTTGTATTCTAGTTTTCCAGGTCTCATTTTATAGAATGGAAGACATATAGAAATTGACATAATTTTGACTGGTTTTACAAAGAAAACTACCTTGAAATTGTGCTCAAAGTAGCAGAAATGTTCGATTTTTACCAAAGTTCAAAAGTAAACAAATCATCCTATGCGTCTAATACACGTGAACTGGCGAGTCTAATATTCTTTCGCAAGTGCGCTGATTATATTTATACCATTTCTACACCAATGCAGTAGTCTGCATAACAGTAAATCTTCTATATTTTGTGAGAATAAAAATTCAAAGTGGAAAGCAAAAGAATGTAAGAGGGGCATGGGGACATGACTAATGAACAGAGGAAATGTTATTTTAGTGCCAGGAATGTCTTTCTTGTTTATTCTGGACCCTATTCGGAAATTGGCATCTTTTGAAATTTGTGTGAAGTTGGCAAAATTGCTAAATTCTGACCACTGTATTGGATAGTTGAAATTGGTAAATGGGTGGTTTCTTGTACTCATTCAATAGAAAAATGGAGTTCTAGCGAAATATTATTATTTTTGTCGACAAGTACACTGGAATTGGCCGAAAATAGGGCTCAAAGTGGGCAAAATAGCCGATGCGTAAACGTTGTCGAGACCACTAACTTCGCGAGAGCATAATTCCGTAAGTTTTCCATCAAATTTCGTATTTTTGGTGTCATTATGATCGGGAAAAGATTCTATCTTTTCATAAGTAAAAATAATTTTTTTTTTTTTTTTTTGAAATTTGGCCGACCCTGAGAACGTCTCTGAGAGGGCCTGTTGACCCTGAAATGGTTAATGGTCGTGCTGTTGAAGTGGAAGCAAGATAACATTTGTGAACGTGTCAGGGAAACTCGAGCCAAACTTTAGCCCTGGAAATGGGAGGCAGTACCTGCACTCGAAAGGGGGAATGGATGTTGCAACATGAGGGTTATTTGTATTGGGATGTCAACACACTTCTGGCAAGACAATAATTTTGGGGTGAATGGAGTTGCCTTACTCTGGTTGGAGATGGCTCCAGCAGTAAATTTCTTTACAAGTGTCACTTTAGTGATTTTTGCATAACTAACTTTAATTTTAGGTTTTTCTTCTTCCAGGTCTTTCCTACCCTAACATTTTCAGAACTACAACTTCAATTTGAGCATTCACAAAGTATTAATGTGTTTGATAAAAACAAACTTGGGAATAAAGTTTAATTTATAGCCTTGAGAAAATCATAACTATCAAATATATGGTTCATAGCCACTTTTTTTTTTTTTGTGCCAGATGTAAATACATAATATTAGCACAAAGCCTTGGGTTTGTGGATAAAGAATTTTTTTTTTAACCACACTAGCTCTCCCCCACCAAGGTAGGGTGACAAAGAAAACTCACCATCACTTGTCTCACACTGACATTACAGCTCAGATACCCCAAATTGCAATATCCCCACCCCCTTCTTCAGTTTTCCCAGACTCCCTTCATAGAAGTTGTTACTCGCGCTCCAACAGTATATAAAGTCATAAAAACTACTTGCCTCCACTTGCTTGTATCTAACATGCTCACACGTGCTTGTTGGATGTCCATTCCCCCCTCATATACTAAACTTTTACCCATTCCCTCCAACCTTTCCTAGAGCGACCCCTACTCCACCTTTCCTCTGCTACAGATTTGTACACCATTCAAATCATTTTATTTTTCTCTGTCCTCTAAGTGTTCAGTATATCTCAATAACCCCTCCTCAGCACTCTGGATAATACTTTACTAATCTCCACACTACGAATTCTCTCCATAATATTCACACCACATATTACCCTTGGACTCGATATCTCCACTGCTTCTAACTGCAAAGTTTGAAACCCATGCTTCACACCCAAGTAAGTGTTATGATACCATTATACTCTTGATACATTTTACTATTTTGCCTCCATGGACAACATTCTTTTTTTTATCCATACATACCTCAGTGCTCTACCCACCTTTTTTTCCTCGATTCTTTGTTAACTTAATTTTTCATAGACCCATTTGCCTTCAAATTCACTCTTTCTAATCTGATATCCAATCTTTCACTACCTAAATTTTCTGTTACTTTCATCACCTTTTAGTGTTCACTTTTAATTTCCTGCTTTTACTGACCCCTATTTCTCCATCCTTTGTAAAAAAAGCAAGTGTGATAATGCTCAGTATATATTAAATTTATCATTTTTTAATCTGCCACCTTGCCCCAATGCCTTGGTATTCACTTCTTTCACATCCTTATCTATAAATGTTAACCATGGTGACACCATGCATTCCTGTCAAAGGCCTACTTTTACTGGATAATAATCTCTTCCTCTTGCATATACTCTGAGCCTCACTATCCTCATAAAAACACTTAACTTCTTTAAGAATAGGAGGAAATTTTTAATTATGGTAACAGATTTTTGATAAATACATCACTCAGCTTTCTCTTTTATTATTACTACTAAAAATTCTACAATACTACAACCAGCAAAAATAGACATTATGGTGCAATCAAATTAGAACTTAAGTATCATACATCAACATAATAGGACAAAATCAATTTCTGACTTGTAATCTTCTCTTTAGAAGTTGTTTATCCTTCCCTAATGAGGCGGTGTGATTTTTTTTTTTTGCCCATCTCTTGCATAATAATTAAATCCTTCCTACTGATACATGCAATAGCTGGCCAGATTGATGCAAACCATACCCTGGCCGGGGTTGAACCCGCGGTCAGAGTCTCAAAACTCCAGCCCGTCGCGTTAGCCACTAGACCAGGTAGCCACAATAAGATTCGTCCAACTAGGTATATTTCTACACCATAGGAAGGTTAGCACAGGCACCACTGTGACCACAAATGCAAGTTTTTACAGACGAATCTCCAGCTAGTGTGGCCGTGGCGAACTCTAGTGGACCCCACGGGTTCAATCCCGGCCGGGGTATGGTTTGTTTGCAATCGTGTCATTACGATTTCGTGAGTCAGATTGATGCAGTTTGTGAAAAAAACTGAAAATAATATTTACATATAAACATTTTTGAATGTTTGCAAAGCTCATAACTCAAGATCAGTTTAAGTAATTGGTTCTATAATGCTAATGTAAGTGTGATAAATTGTAAGTCAGAACAATATAAGTAGGAATCGTACGTTATTTTTGTGTTATTGTTTAAAAGCCAGTCTTGAGGTTTGCTGTTTCATAACCTATGATTGGTGTCCCATTTATATATACCATATAACACTAAGAGTCATTGTAATGCATTGATTTTAATTTTTCACTATGCCAGTATATACCTGAAAATTTAATGTGAAAGTACATATTTCTTGGGTTCAGTATTAGCAACTAAATATTCACCATGTTTATAACGAATTCTGAACTTTTACAATTCTGAGCTGTGTGCTGAATTTAGTGTAGTTTCACTGTGTTTACGACAATTCTGTTTATTTCCAAGTCCAGTTCTGTTACATGCTACAGATTTATATCTTGTATTAATGTTTGTTTACTGTTGATTGATAAGCATAAAGGAGATCCATAAATATTTCAGTGGGTCGTGGTGGCCCTATGGGAGGACCAATGGGTGGTGGCGGAGGCGGCGGTGGAGGTGGTGGTGGAGGTGGCCGTGGTGGTCCAAATGACAAAGTAGAGGCCTTCTTTAATGTTCCCGCCAACAAATGTGGTCTTGTAATTGGTAAAGGTAAATATTCCCTGAACTGAAGGCCAGAATTATAGTCTTGATTCTGTCATGTTGCTAGATTCTAGAAACAAAGTACAGTATATTGGAAAAATAAAATTAGCAGTTTTTACTGTATTCATTCTTTTTTTTAATGGCATTACTTCTGACAGGTGGAGAAACCATCAGAACTATTAACCAACAAACTGGTGCCCATTGTGAACTAGATCGGAGACCTCCAAGCAACCCCAATGAAAAAACTTTTATTATCCGTGGTACTCCTGAGCAGATAGACAATGCTAAAAAGATGATTGCTGAGAAAGCTGGCATGGTAAGTAACAATTGAATCTTGATTGGTTTGATGGGGTGGGAATGTAGTTCACAGGGTCACCTGAAGCGTCATGTCTACATAGCTATTGGGTGAGGGTTTTTAAGTGAATAGCAACTACAGTATTTCATATTGGGAATTTTATTAAGATATTCTCAGGGTTTAGCATTTACCATGAATGCTGCTTCTGATTATCAAAGGAATTTGCCTTCAGTTTAGTAATTTAGGCAGTAGGGGTTACTAGCCTCTTGCTCCTTAGATTTTTAGTTACCTTTATGATACATAAGGCTTATGAAGGTAGGATTATAAGAACATAAGAACACAAGAACGAAGGAACACTGCAGAAGGCCTACTGGCCCATGCGAGGCAGGTCCAAGTCTCCTACCGGCTTAAGCCAATGCACCCAACCTAGTCAGGTCAGGTCACATTGACTTAAGGGAGGAACACGGCAACCGACCTGTTAGCACAAGCTATCAGGTCTAACTCACACCCACCCACATCTACTCATGTATTTATCCAACCTATTTTTAAAGCTACACATGAATATGAAAGGCAATACAATATGAGTTATTAATTAGAAGAAAACTCAGATGTGTGTATGTAAACGTACAAGCACAGCTGCATGTGTAGTATGAACAAATTGTTAGTAGTTGTAGTAATAGCAAGATGTACCTTTACTCATATGTGGTTGTAAGGGTTGTCTCAGCTCCTGACCCCCACCTCTCAACTTGCTGTTTTCCAAATTAACTTTCTCCTATTCTTGTGGGCCCTGTCACACCTATTCTGAAAACGTTTGTGAAGTCTGCCTCCACCACTTATTTATTGAGGTCATTCTACTTCCTGACTACCCTGACACTGGAGAAATAATTATTGATATCTCTGTGACTCATATTTGTATAACCTCTAGTTGTACCCCTGAATACCCATTTCCTGCCTCTCAAACAGCCTGTTTCCCTCTGTCCTATCAAGTCCTTTTTGAGTATTTTGTATGTTAGCATGTCTCCCCTGGCCCTTCTATTCCCTAGGGTTGTTAGATTCACTTCCTTTGGCCTTCCTTCGTAGCTCAGGCATGGATTTCTGAATGGTGCTGCATACCCCAAGATGGGCCTGACACGTACAAAGCATCCAAAATGACTGTTGAGATTCCTGAAGGTCACTCTTCAGATTTCCTAGGCAAGCATTGGTTGCAGAGGTTATTTGTTTGATGTGATCCTCAGTCATTTTGTGTGTTTGAGACAGATAAAGATACCAGCAATCCTACCATTGTGTAAAGAATTACAGATTTCCATCTCAGACTCGGTAGTGGGATGGTACTACCTCTAGGTGGGTGCTGTATCCCATCCTACTACCAAGAGAAGAGGCTTGAACATCCAGCAGGGTTATGTGAATATTGTGTGTGTTTGTGTGTACTTGCCTAATTGTGCTCTACTAATTGTGGTTACAGGGGTTGTCACATTTCCTGGCCCCGCCTCGTCACTGGTTGCCACTAGGTCCACTTTCTTCCTGCTCCATGAGCTTTATCATACCTCTTCTTAAAGCTTTATATGGTACCTGCCTCCACTACCTCACTTTCCAGACTATTCCACTTCTTGACAACTCTGGCTGAAGAAATACTTCCCAGCATCCCTGTGAATCGTGACTTCAACTTCCAGTTGTGACCCCTTGTTGCTGTGTCTCATCTCTGGAACATCCTGTCTTTGCTCACCTTGTCGATTCCTCTCGGTATTTTGTCGTTATCATGTGCCCACTGTCCCTCCTGTCTTTCAGTGTCATATTGAGTTAACCTCTCAGGATTTTCCCCTTCTCTATCCAGCCTCCAATAGAAATATTTTTGTAACCTATTTTTGTTACCCTACCTAAGTAATAGCTTTTATATCTTTTACTCATGTGCAAGTTAATTGTTCTACCATATTGTATTACTACTACTACAACTTATATCACTACTACCACCACCACTAGTATTGCACCTCACTTTGAGCCTATATATACCCTCTGTGTCCATGTATTGTTTGTAACTGCTTGACAAGGCTCCTGGAGAGCAAAACGTTGCCACAATAAAAATGTTACATTAGTTGCACTTGTGTCCTTTTTCTTATATGGGTGTGAAGCATGGGTGATGAATGTTGCAGCGAGGAGAAGGCTGGAGGCAGTGGAGATGTCATGTCTGAGAGCAATGTGTGGTGTGAATATAATGCAGAGAATTCGTAGTTTGGAAGTTAGGAGGAGGTGCGGGATTACCAAAACTGTTGTCCAGAGGGCTGAGGAAGGGTTGTTGAGGTGGTTCGGACATGTAGAGAGAATGGAGCGAAACAGAATGACTTCAAGAGTGTATCAGTCTGTAGTGGAAGGAAGGCGGGGTAGGGGTCGGCCTAGGAAAGGTTGGAGGGAGGGGGTAAAGGAGGTTTTGTGTGCGAGGGGCTTGGACTTCCAGCAGGCATGCGTGAGCATGTTTGATAGGAGTGAATGGAGACAAATGGTTTTTAATACTTGACGTGCTGTTGGAGTGTGAGCAAAGTAACATTTATGAAGGGGTTCAGGGAAACCGGCAGGCCGGACTTGAGTCCTGGAGATGGGAAGTACAGTGGCTGCACTCTGAAGGAGGAGTGTTAATGTTGCAGTTTAAAAACTGTAGTGTAAAGCACCCTTCTGGCAAGACAGTGATGGAGTGAATGATGGTGAAAGTTTTTCTTTTTCTGGCCACCCTGCCTTGGTGGGAATTGGCCAGTGTGATAATAAAAAAAAAAATTGTCAATAATTCTACCAACATTATTACTACCTTCCTATGGTGTAAAAATGTACTTGGTTGAATGAATCTTATTGTAGCCAGCTGGCCCAGTGGATAACACATCAGTCTGGAGTTTTACGACTCTGACCGTGGGTTCAAGCCCCACCTGTGGTGTGGTTTTTCTCCTCATTAACTTCACATAGTCTGCAAACAAGGACACTTCCGAGTCCATTCCTTCCTTTGTGTCATTCACATAAACAGTGGAACCTCTACTTATGAGTGCATCCACGTGCGAGTTTTTCCAGATATGAGCAGCCGCTCGGTAGATTTTTTGCTTCCAGACGCGAGCAAAATTTCCAGATGCGAGCGGGCCTCAAGGGAGGTTAATTGCCACTGGTGAGGGGGCTCTTGCTCTTGATATAGGGAATTGGATCTCAGTTGTTTGTTGGCCTATCTTATTGAAACTTGGGCAAAGTATGATGAAAAGATGCTTCTTAACGTACACCAAAAATGAAGGAAATCTGACCATAAATGACGGAGTTCACTTCTCAGCCATTAGCATCCCCTTAGCGGTATATTTTTGTATGGTTTTTATGGTTGTATCCTCGTTTTATTTGGTCTCGTGATAGAATGGAAGATATACTACAAAAATAAATATGATTTTAATTGGTTTCACGATGAAAAGTACCTTGAAATTGAGCTCAAGATAGCAGAAATGTTCGATTCTTTGGCGACGTCATGAGGTAGCAGTGGCAGACAACATGAAGCAACTGTGGCAGACATCATGAGGTAGCAGTGGCAGACAAAATGATGCAGCAGTGGCAGATATCATGAGGTAGCAGTGGCAGACAACATGAAGCAGCAGTGGCAGACAACATGAAGCAGCAGTGGCAGACATCATGAAGCAGCAGTGGCAAAGCGTAGCATTAAGAATGTAGCACTTGTAAGTCACTCTGACTTTTTTGGGTTATCCTAGGTTCTCTACACATGTAGTCAGGAGCAGGAATTGCCGCTGTGGTGGCCCCTATAAACCCCAACAACAATGGCTGCTGTCACCACCACTAGCCACATACCTAATGACATGTATTTTATTCATTCTAGTGTATATATCATGTTTCTATGTTACTAATATTGTTTATTATGTTTATTATTACATGAATTGTGATAGATAAATAAGCTGTAGAGTTGATATTAGGGTATTTTCTCATGCCTGGAATTCCGCTGGAATGAATTAATTCCATTTCAGTTAATTTAAATGAGAAAAATTGACTCTGCAGACGAGCAAATCCAGTTGCGAGCAAGGTCATGGAACGGATTAAACTCGTACGTAGAGGTTCCACTGTACATGTACAAGGAACAACACCGCTCCTAGGACTGACCCCTGTGGAACTGTGCTCGTCACAGGCGCCCACTCTGACACCTCATCATGTACCATGACTTGCTTCTGCATTCCTATGTACTCGCCTAGTTGTAGTTGCAGGGGTTGAGTTGCAGCTTGTGTGTGCGTGTTATTTTGTTCTTTGTTTATGATTCTACGTGCTGGTGGAGTGAGAAGATATCATTTATGAAGGGATTCAGAGAACTGGTTAGCTGGAGGTGAGTGTTGCAATTCAAAAAGTTATGTGATTTGTGATGTTGGTATACTTCTGGCAAGACTGACTGAATGGATGATGGTTGAAAGTGTTTTTTGGATCACCCTGCCTTCGTGGAAGACAGTTGATGGGTTAAAACAAATTTTTATACACAATCTTTTTATACTTTTTTTTATCCTAGTAAAGGAAAACTTTGTATTATTATTATTGGTATGTTTACCTTGCTATTTCCCAATTTCATTGAAGATTTTAGGGGGTACCTTACTTTCCTAGAGCACTAACGAATTGGCGTACCCACGAGTCCAGTGTTCCTCTCGTTTTTTATCCTACGTTATGCTCTCATTTCAAACGGAACACAAAGCCATATAAATTTTTAAGGCAGGCCTTGTTTATTTTTTCTTTTATGCAGTTTTAAGGTTTCAACCACCTTGACCCTTTCAGTGGCTGTCACATAGAACTGTCCATTGATGCCAAGGTCTCTGAGGTGTATTTACACCTAAATTCTAATGGGTTTAAATTAAATGGGATAGGCCGGGTGGGCCTACATATGAGAGAATGAACCCCCCCCCCCCCAGTGCATTGCAGAAATTCTAGTACACCTTTTTCACCATGCCAAACAGAGGCCTTGCTCCCTAGGTAAATGAATGAGTTATATTGCCTATTGACTGCTCCATCAGTGATAATTACTGGTTTCGAAC